CCAGACACTTCCCCAAACCCAACAAGCGAAGAGCTCGGGCTCCAGTGAGTCACGCCGCCGCGGGGGCGGAGAGGAGGTGGTCCTGACATGGGGCCGGGCTGCAGGGCGGCCGAGCTCATCTGCGGGACTTTGTGAAATCCGGGCCGCCCTGGCTCCGGAGCCCTGCTTTGTGGGCAGGTTACATCCACGTGCGACCATTTCATCTAAGATTTGGGTCTGAGTTGGGCAAAAAGCCCATATTTGGTGCTTCCTACACCAGCCCCAAATACTGGAGGTCTTCTCTTTCTCGGTGTGTCGCACACGGCCCAGCTCAGGCCCTCGCCTCTCTCCGTCCACAGGCTGCCCGATGCCGGTGGGGCCAATGCGGCCTGAGTCCACAGTGGGGAGTGGATTTCATACAAGCTGTCGAAATCTCAAGGGAGCCTTGGTGGGGGTGTGTGCCTATTCCTCCTGCAGTTCCCAGTTGGCATGGGAGACACAAACAGAGAAGGTGACATGAGGCTGGGAGGGGGGGGGGGGGAAGTAAGGAATGAGAACATAGACATGAACATAACTCAACACCTTCCCCTCGGAGAGCCTCCGCGTTAATCCAAATATAATTCCAACTACTGCGCATCAATGTTTCCACACTGTACTACTTCTCTATCTACTGGAATTTGCTCCGTAACACATCAAACACTGATTGAAGAGGACCGTCTGATTTAAAAACAAGGCACTCAGCAACTCTAGGACTTATCAATGTAGCCAGTTAAAAGTTTGATATGATTCATAATTAAATTATTTTGTACCCAAACATATTCAATTAGTTAATTACAGCAAATTATGCTGATCATTAAGACGTTACTAAAATATTACATGTGTATGCCAAATGAGGCCATGATGGGTGAAACAAATTTGTGAGGAAGAAAAGCAACAAAGCTTAAAAAGCTTCCCAAAAGAGTCCTGACCGGTTTGGCTCAGCGGTTAGAGCGTCGGCCTGTGGTCCAGACAGACCCAGGTTCAGTTCCTGCTAAGGGCGTGTACCTTGGTTGCAGTTTGTCCCGGCCCTGGTTGGGTCATGAGGGTGGCCACCACTCGATGTGTCCCTTTCACGTCGATGTTTCTCTCTCTCTCTCTCCCTCCCACTCTATCTGAACAAAAATGGAAAAATGTCCTCAGGTAAGTATATATAAAAAAAAAAAAAGTTTCCCAAAAGAAAAAAAATATATATATATATAGGGTTGGCTTGCCCTGGCTGGTATGGATCAGTGGCTAGAGCACTGGCCACCCACCGAAGGGTCAAGGGTTTGATTCCCGGTCAAGGGCACTACCTGGGTTGCAAGTTCGATCCCCAGCCGTGGGTGGGGTTATGCAGGAGGCAACCAATCTATGTGTCTCTCTCACATTGATGCTTCTCTCTCTCTCCCTGTCCCTCCCTCATTCCACTCTCTCTAAAAATCAATGGAAAAAATAACCACGGGTGAGCATGAACAACAGCAACGACAACAAAGGGTTGGCAAATATGTAGTCATTTCCTACTCACCTACAAAGCTTTTCAAGTTTTTAGACAATAGACAGTTCACTATTTAAAATATTGAACTGGCTCAAAGACCAACGTAAGAGTTTTAAATCCTAGACATCTCAAAAGTAAAGTCTAATTCACCAAAATTAGAATTATTTTGACCTTATAAGAAAAGCTACCTCACATCTGTCATAGAACTGGCCCCTGGGACTTGCCATACACCTCGGGAAACCCACAAAAAGGTAACATTCCCTGAGAAATATCTCTGCTGCCTCCCTTCTCGAGGTTACAAATACGGTCATGCTCGGAAGGTTGAATTTGTATGTGATGAGATTTTGTTCTTTGTCCTTAAAGGAAAATACAAATATTTCTTTGGAGAATGAGAGAAAAATGAAAGGCATAAAATTCATATACAGTTTATGTGCGTGGCCACCTGTGACATCAAGACAAATCTGCTTAGTTCTGTAACGACTCATAAAAAGCTCACAGCCATGGTCATGACTGTGTGTTCAAGTTCTTTTTAGGAATTCCACCAGTGACATAAAATGTACAGGACAAAATGTCCAGGTGTGAAGTATCCTGTGATGGCTACTTTCTTCTTTCCAACGTTACTGAAATGCTGCACAATGAACACGTATTATTCTCATAAAACAAAAACAACAGAAAAATTTAAAGGACCTCAAAGCAGTCTTCTCTGACACGATCTCATTTAGTGTCACAAAAGAGAAATGGTTCATTTTAAAATAACGGTTCTACGGATTCATCAGGGAGAATCCATCTAATCGGTTCTCCACGATGTGAGACGACAAAGTATCAAAATTCAGAAAGACAAGTGGCTGAGCCAAGGGCCAGATTCTCCACAGACAGGACGAGACACAGACCACACCTGGTACCTGTATTTGCACCTACCACGTGACAACACAGACTGCCCATCGACCTCCTCCCCGGTGGCTATTGTCACACCTATTCTACGGTGAAGAACCAGAAACTCAGCTAGCCAGCAGGGCCACACGGCTAGACGGCAGAGCTGAGATGAGGTGCAGCCTGGCTCGCCCAGCGTGGCATCTCTGTCCATCGCAGCCTGAGGACTCCCTAAGGTTTGGTCCTTCCCGGATAACCCCTAAGAATGAAATTGCCTTTTCACGTGGACCCTGTTTAGTTCCTTCCTTTTCCACATGTGTACTTGGCAGAAAGAAAGAAACTCAGGTCCACCAGACTTTGCCCCTCAGTGGAAAACCCATGGAGACGCATCTCTGGGTTGGGGAGGGAGACCCCAAGCAGGGCGTGGGACAGGCAGGATGGTCAAGCTCTACCCTCTCGGGAATTGTCTTCAACACATTCCTGCCTCTTCTAGGAAGGAGTGGCTGACTGCGGAAGGGTACCCGGCCACCACACCATGTGCAGGAGAACTCAGACTCGCCTCCCACCACACCCCATCCTCCAACCTCGATGCACAATGACCCCAAGAGTGTTCTCATAAGCACCCGAACTTGATGCGCCAGGCCCCTTCGACAACCGAGCGACCCCCACTGGGCTGCTGTGGCCTCTTCTACAGGCAGAAGGCGAGCATCTGCCTGGCCACCTCGCAATTCCAATTCTCTCTGTTCCTGTCCACGCTGTTTCTCACGACTTCTGCCAAGGTGCTCATCAAATTCCTGCTTGCAGGCCAGGGATCATAATACAAAATAAATCACCAAAGGGAGAAAAATAGAAATTTGAAGAAAAAAAAAAAGAACTAATCTCTGCAGACTTGCTCTCCAATTTTTGTTTTCAACACATTTTTTTGACATGGGATGAAGACCAAAAGCGTAACCTGCTGGGGCCCTGGGAACAGCTTAGTCTTCCTCGTCTATTTTAGACAGACAAGGGCCCAGTCGAACTCCGCCATGGGGGTAGGGGAGCTTCCACAAGAGGTCTTACACTTGTCAATCATTTAATTAACAGAAGAAGTAACAGCAGCCGACAACTAGAGAGCACGTGGTAGGTGGGGGTGCTGGGTTGCATATGTGCATGTATGTCCATAATCTCCCTGCACCTGAATGGCAGCGCCTCAAGGTAGCTTCTTTTGCTAGCCTCAGTTTTCAGACAGGAAAACGGGGGTTTAAGAGCGTAGATGATGGCTGGAACCTGTAGAGCGGGGCTGGACTTGTCGTCCCGGGAGACCGCAGAGTTCTTAATTGCTACGCTCCACTGCTTCCCATCAGACCTTCAAGTGATGGGCATTAGCTCCCGAATAAAACCTGGTCGTCCTGCCCAGCTGCATCCCTCGCTCCACAGTCTTGCATTAAGATCTTTCCATTTCAAGAGAGAAGAGGTGGGGTCCATTTAGGGGGTGGCACGGGGAGGAAAAAGAAGGGGAAACCGGAGGATTCGAATTATAACAGGAAAATGGATTGAAAGGGCCGAACGTATGTGTTGGAGCCAAATGGTTTGGCAGATGCAGCCACGCTCGGGGATTTGTGATGACAGGGACAGTCCTTTTTCCACCCCACTTCGAGCTGCCTTTATAGAACTTTATCTTTTATGTCCAAAGATCAAATAAAAAAAGATCACATTTAATGAGAACTAAGGGAAATAAACTGGTGGCAATTAAAGAGTAAAAATAACTTCTCTGTGGCTTCAGACCACAGGCGGCTGCCGGTTCTAAGAGGCACAGGGAAATCACTTAAGGCCTTTTAGGCTGTGTTCCTTTTACGTTTCCTCCCACACCCACGGCGGTTACAGTCAGAGGCAGTCACAGGCCTTGAATCGTGGAATGGTGCAGGGAGAAGAAGCACAACCAGGCCAAACTCATCAGCTCACAAATGCAACCTCGTGACGCAGAAGTCAGACCCCAGCCTCCTGCGGAACCGGTTGCTTCGTGTGGGAGGGGGTCCGTCAGAGTTAGAAAAGGTTGCGGAATCTCTCCTCGCCATGAGAGACCTGCCTCCCTCCACCCTCAAGCTCTGACTGCACGCTCCTCTGACTCTGGACACAAGGGCTCGCAGTTGGCCGAGACCTAAGAATCGGCACTTCACCGCCTCGCTTTGCACGTGCAGGTCTGTTTTGGTCTAGATGGTGAGGCAGACCTGAGCTCCCCCTCGGACGTAGAATAACCAGCTACACTCAGACACCCACAGGCAGCCAGAGGGGTCTGTGGGTCCCGCCTCTGCCCTGTACCCCTGCGGCGGAGACCGGAACTTGAGACGTTCTCATCGATCTTAGCTAACACCTGATAAAATCTTGGGTGTCACCAGCTTTCCAATGAATCTATAGACACTCACACACAGAACCGCCTTTAGAGGGTTGTTCTGAAATGCTCTCTGAAATGCCCTAATTTGGGATACAATATGGGACTGACTGAAGACGAGATTGGCTGCTGAACAGAAAGACAGGAGTGTTGACCCTGACCCTTGGGAGCTCTTGCTGTGTACACCGAGAGATTTGACAGACTCTGTGTCAAGGTCAAGGCTATCCTTGGGCTGTGACCCAATGCCATCCCCCAGAACACTGCGCTTACCGGTAGAAAGTAGCATAGTCCACCGTCGAGTGGCAGGTCTGAAACTCCCAGGACTTGAGTTTCTGGCATTCTCGATGGGCTCGAAGCTTTACCTTGACCGTCCCGCGACACAGTTCGGGCACTGGTTTTCTCCGGGGTCTATTGCAGAACTCATTGGACTCTACCCTCCAGGACTCAGCAAAGTCATCCACGTCAAACTTGAAGTTTCCATCTCCACCAATTAAGTCATCACGCTTATGTCCATTATAGTTGCCACACAGACCACAGAGTTTGCCCTTGAGATGAGGGGCAGCCATGACTTCTACAAAACTGTCCCCATCCCAGGATATTTCCAGACCTAGACGAAAAGAAAAGGGATCACTCACTCTTGAGTCCACCAATAATTACCAAGTGTATACATCCTTATAACATATGACTATCCTTTAACAAGGAACACCAAGGGTCTGTCCAAATTCTTGGTTACCTTTTATCTTTGCCATCTTAAGTGTTGTGTGAAATTACATGAATCACTTGCTTGTTAGGACTTAGAATTTTTAAACTGTATAAAGTTCGCCCTTAAAATGATGTATTATGTATTGTGGTTTGAGTTGTAAATAACCACTCATTGATCATGTTGTTCTAGGGTATATATTTTTGCCATTTTCAAGAGTAATTGTGCTAGTCCAAATCATGATTTTGTTTGTCCGATGATTACTCTAATGTGCAAATGCAAAGATGGCAAAGATGATAGTTTTTAAAGTAATTCTTTCTTTATCCCCAAACCCCCCATATGATTACACCAAACACCAAATGAAAAATTTCAAATTATTTGTTATAATGGCTGTATTAAAGCAATAAGGGTATAGCTTCTGACTACATCCTCTTCAAAGGATGGCTTCAGCGTTGGGGGCTACTGGGTCATTGGCAAAAATTCTCCCCATGCTGAATGGAATCCGCAGGACAGCACTGTCTTGTTTACCATGAAAACAATCTCCACTCCGGAAGGAAGAGAAGGCCCTTCTTGGTTTGCTGAACTGATCATCGAGAACAGTGAAAGGTTTTTCTGAGAACATTCATATTTCTCCAAAAATGTTTGCCCGAGGCTTCCAAGAGACACTCCCGGCAATGACCCCACTGGATGGTGGACTTTCTGTGTCACAGAGAACATCCAGATTATGCTGTCTCAGGTGGGTCAACTGCATGGGACCCCATCACACACACAGATCAGTCCGATGAGAAGGTCAAGAAGACATGTCCCCATTCCCATCCTGACGTTGGTGGGAGACATTTCCCGAAGAGAAAGGAGAGGCCTTAATGAAAAGCCTTTTGAGGTTCAAGTCAAAGTAAATGTCAAGCTCTTCTAGTCAAAGAGTGTTTCTGTGTCCCAAACATGTGTCAGAAGTGTTTCTTACTATTGTCCTGGTCACACCCCACCAGGGTCTGAGCCCCCTGTGAGTGGATGAACTAGGAACCATCAAATGCAGGCGACCCACCCAGGCCATGAACACCCAGGGAGCAGACAACAGGTCAATATGTATTTCTGCCCAAGGCCTTCTCCATTGTCACTTTCACTGTCTCCTACAAGTGACCACCCACACACAAAAAAAGCAGCTCTTTTTGACAAAAAAATAAATAAATAAAGTGTTAAATGTGTGGTTTTTACTCTCTTGGGTTTCCGACAGAAACTAGCCTTTCCTTCAGCCAGTTCTGGGCATCTGGAAAGAACGACATGACCTACTCCTGGGAGACTCTGCCTTTGTTCTTACAGCATGAAATTAGGCTGATGAGAAAATGTTCAGAAGGTGCTCAGAAGCTAGGGAATGCGGTGATAGGAAAGGAGAGGGGTTGGGAGAAGGGACGGGATCTTGCTTGGATATAAAATTGGCAGGAGGCAACATCAGAGTGATGTGAGATCCGTAAGAAACGCCCAGAAGTCAGCTTCTAAAGCCAATGTTCCCGAAGTCTGGACACGGTCCAAGAGGAGCGAAGGCGGCCAAATCGCATTCCCGTGAGCCACACAACTGCCGCAAGAAAGATTAAGATCTGGTTAGGGAGGGTTGGTGGTGGAATACACCCGTGCTCTAACACGGGACTTCTCGGGAAATAAACAGAAAGGCCCGTATGTAAATCACTGAATGGTAAATGAAAGGGATGGAAACATTCTTTTCTTTTTTTTTTATCCTCACCCGAGGACATTTTTTGATATTTTGTTCAGAGAGAGTGTGAGGGAGGGAGAGAGAGAGACACATCGACGTGAAAGGGACACATCGAGTGGCTGCCACCCACACGACCCAACCAGGGCCGGGGACAAACTGCAACCGCGGTATGTGCCCTTAGCGGGAACCGAACTCAGGTCTCTTTGGACCACAGGCCGACGCTCTAACCGCTGAGCCAAACCAGCCAGGGCGGGATGGACACATTCTTAGTTCAAGGGAAATGGCCGAGACGCTTTCTTGGTTGAGATAAAAAGCTGAGTACAGAAAAGCAGTTAAATAGAGTTGGGTAAAGAAGCAAGATAGATGGTCGTAAGGAAGTCTCCCTTGGGAGTCATCTGACGAAGAGAAGACAGTGGTAGGACAAGGTGACTGCTCCGATATCCACATGCCGACAGACCTCCCAAGCAGATCTCTGTGAGAAGACGGTGTCAACTCTGACAACCACAACTATCCTACACAATGATGCATATGTCTTCATACCCCGTCATCTAACACAGTATCTGGCATGTAGTATATACTTACTAAATGAATGAATTACCCTGCAAATTGATATGTCATGCAAAGCCAAGGAAATTGCGAATTTCATGCTAGTTAAGACACTGCAATAACAACTTTGAAAAAAGACAAGCAAACTATAATATGATTTGTAAGACACTCTCTAAGGTATAGAAGAAACTCGACCTTCCACGCCTGCGCCCAGGCAGCTGCCCAGCAGGAGAAATGAAGGGGAAAATCAATTTCATCCACACTCGGGCTTTAACAACACAGTCCTGAAGACTTTCCGTGCCGCAACACTTTCCGAACGACAAAGCTCTTCCCTAGACAGCAGGCAAATCCCCTTCTTCCGAGCGCCACAATGGTTGAGAACGTCTTTCCAAAGAAGCTCCAACATCATCACTGACGAGGATGTAATAAATTTGAGACTTTGGCAACTGAGTTCCCAGGAATTCAACTCACAGTAAACAAGGTAATAATCGCTGCGTCCTTTCTTTGCGGTGGACTGGTGGTCCATGCGTACCTGAGGAGACCGCTGTGTTCTTAGGAAACTCTTCTTAAAACTCTTAACATCTCACTCATGAAACATGGTCCTCAAAGAGAATCATCTGTAATTCACTCTCTTTTTTGGGGGGGGGAGGGGGTCATCATTAAGAGGATTTTCATGGCCCAATGCTAGCTTTTGTATTTTGAAGGGATAAATCATTCTGCTCCAAATAGATGCCTTTGTCTGTTGCTGTATCATTGTTTGCATCCATTTACCCTCTATAGGAGTAAAATCTCTGAAAAGCAGATTACAGCGGTGACAGGCAAAAACACTAATAAGTTGTCATTGAAGAAATTGCTCCTCCAACAGATATTTTATTATTATTTTTTTTTATCCTCGCCCAAGGACATTTTTCCTTTTTTTTTTTTTTTTCAGATAGAGTGGGAGGAGGAGAGAGAAGAAGGGAGAGAGAGAGAAACATCGATGTGAAAGGGACACATCGAGTGGCTGCCACCTGCATGACCAACCAGGGCGGGGACAAACTGCAACCGAGGTACGTGCCCTTAGCAGGAACCGAACCCGGGTCTCTCTGGACCGCAGGCCGACGCTCTAACTGCTGAGCCAAACCGGCCAGGGTGCCGACAGATATTTTAAATGGTGTCATTAGAGATGAAAACATCATGGAAGTGTGAGGTGGGTCAGTCCTGTCTGCAGCTGGGACGAGTCTCCCAGTTCTCTGCATGGGAAACCGAGGGGGGTATGACTGGTGGGGTCAGAGGGCTGAGGGCGAGGCACCTGTCCGCGGGGTGAGCGGCAGCCGCCATCCCTCCGCTGTAGGCGGGCCCTCCCTTCTCAGCACTGAGAGTTTCACTAACTTGTTCTTCGCTGTTCCAAGGTGCGTGTGACCCGGCTCCAGACTACTAGCTTGGGGGGTTTTCTTGGGGGCCAGGGGAAGGTGTTCTTTGGTTTGGTGGTTGTTTTTGTTTGTTCCGCTTTGTTTGTTTTGGTTGTTATTGGACTTTTGTTGTCCACTCAAAGGAGAGAGGAGGTGTGACATCAGTAGACACACCACAGAGATGCTTAAACACGGATGGGTTCTGTTTAGAGGCTACGTCAAAGGGAAAAGGGAGAACTATGTGTGCATTCTCTGGGTTCATCGAGTGCAGAACGCGCACGAACCTGGAGAAAACGTATAATAAAAGCCACGTGTGCGTGTTAACGCCTTTCAGGGGGGCCTGATGTAACCCTTCCAGGAAGAGCTGCTGAAGCGAGCAGACGGCGAAAGGAAATATTTTTAAATTCTTCGCCAAGTGCCAAGAGTGGGTGGGAGCGATGGGGTGGGCAGCGCTTTCTCAGGCTGCTCCGCTTCGCTCGGTACCCTCTGCACCACCCCAGGTGTTACCTGGGAAGCAGCTGCCGCCTCTTTCGCCCAAGTGACAGGCCACCTGTTCTCCCTGGCAGGTGATTCCATCACGAAGTGCTGAGTATTTAAACCACAGGGGCAAAGTCGTTCCTCCCCACTTCCCACCCTCCAGCGGCAGGCTTGATTGAAGCTGTTATTCTGAGAAAAGTGCCCTTTGATCATATGTGCTTATGAAACTTACACACACACACACACACACACACACACACACACAACCCTATGGAAGAAGAACCCTCAGAGGGTATTTTAAATAGACAAGCGACAAGTGGTAAAAAGACAATCTCCCTCAGGGGCAGTACAGACTGAGGTGGGTGGGCCAGAGTGGCAAAGGTGTTGCCTGGCAATGCAGTTGTTCCATTCGAAGGACCATGTCGAAGCGAGTTCAGTGGCCGGAGGAATCCAGTCCTTCTCTCGGAAGCAGACAGCCTGTGCGCATCACGGCCTCGGGAAATCGTTCAGCGGAGTGTTAAGGGGGCCACATAAATTACTTGACTCATTGGATGGAAAAAGAAACGGAACTGGAAAACTACGTTCAAGGCCTAGAAGAGTTAAATTCACTAATCTGATTATGGTGTGGATGATGTAGTAGCATTTTCCCAACAGCCTCGTCCTTCTGCTCGTTTGTACGATGTGGAATCCTTACAAAGAGTACACTCGTCCCGTAAGGTGTTGCCAGCCGCGAAGGAGCGGCGCGGGACCTCCTAGCTGTTAGTCTTTGAGCATCCAGGATCCCTTTGAGAACTGGGCTGTGGTTGACTAATAATTTCCGTATCGGTAGAAGCCACTGTGTTCAGCTGGCTCGCTAAATCTAGGCAAGGTGCTTCTAATTAGTGCTGTTTAGTAATGTGTCATCGTGCGCACATTTCACAGGAAGCTGCCAACTGTTGCCTCCTTTAAAGGGATGAGCTGAGGCCTATGTATCCCCGTGTGGCCTGTCACTTGAATATGACAACAGGTGTCTAAATTTTCTGAGCAGGACTAATGCCTCGAAAGTTGAAAGAATAGAGCTTTTTACATAGGCCACACTCGGGGTCAGGAATGGAGGCCCTGGCCACTGTGGCTCAATTGGTTCTGTACACCCAAAAGATGGTGGGTTCAATTCCAGGTCAGGGCACATACCCAGGTGTGGGTTCAATTCCCCTATCCGGGCACATACTGGAGGCAACTGATCGATGCTTCTCTCTCGCATCGATGTTTCTCTCCCTCTCCCCAGTGTAAAAGTTAAAATAAAAAGAATGGGAATCTTTCCCCCTTTATAGAATGTTGCAATTCATCAATACCGAACATTCACTCACTGAAACCATGTGATACTCTCTAAATAAAAGCTCCCTGCACGTCTCCTTGGCTCCCTGCCTTGTTTGGCTAAGCTGGCATTCCACAGGCTCCATCCATTTATCAAACACATTTGGCTTGAACTGAAACAGTCCTCCGGCTTCTGGAGAGAGAGTGGAGCAGGCTCCATAACCCTGCAAAGTGCCCGCTCCATCAGATGTATCCCCTTTGGATCTATATTATCTAATGACACTAGAACCCAATTGATGCTTTTACATTGTTAAAGCCTTCTCAATGCAAAAAGCAAGACAGATGCTGAATTCCTCAAGTATCATACTTAAAGAAATAGCATAGGCCAGGAAACCACACAGTCCGACATCCAAACAGTATGAACTAACAAAGGGAGCATGAAAGGAGCCATACATGGTATAATAAAGCGTGTAAATGGGCTGAACGCATACTTTGGGGCTAATACTGAAGAGTGGAATTCTGCTTCTAAGATGTCTCTCTTAGGGAGCACCTCAAAGACAAAAATCTGTGCCTCACTGAACCCCTAGAAGTAACCTGGCAACCGTGAACAGTTTGGCTGTTGGACGATGTATCTTGTCCTGGAATGAACAGACAGTCTCAGGCAACACGGGCTACTGAGACAGGGCCTCGGGGCTCAGCTTCATGTGCCCAAGGCCCCGGGAAGAGCTCTCGGAACAAGCATCCCAAGTGTCCTTCAGTGGGGGCCAAGGGTTCTAGCCACCCAGTCCAGGAGCACCCTGCCCCAGGGTCAAGAATGGATGGGGCTGCTGGGCACACAGCCGCCTCGCACTCCCTCCGCACACCCACACGTGCTGTGGATTACTTTGGGGGACTCCCCCTTCTTGGCCAGATGCTGACAAGGAAACACTGTCACAGATGTGAAGCTGCACATTACTGGCTGAGTTGGGAGAGACACTGACAATTCCAAGCTGGCCATCAGTGGCCTAAAATTAGCAGCACAACACGAGAAGAGGTTATTTGCAGAGCAGACTGCTATTTTTGGAATGCGGCTGGAAAGGCACTGGGTGTGGGGGGTTGCAAGCCTGGTGGGACTGGGTGGGACCAAGGCAGAGGGTGTGCAGATTGCCCCAGCCCTACAGGAGCATCCTGGAGACCTGCCTCCGGGCTTCCCCGCGGAGGAGGAGGCGGAGCCGCGGTCCTGAGCGCGGGGCGCTGGAGAGAGCGGGGGCGCGGACACCAGTGCGCCCGGAAGCCCACCTGCTTTGGTCGTCACTTTCAGGAGGTAGCCGTCCAGGTCGATGTGAAAGTGCGGCGCCTGCCAGGGCAGCGCGATGCGCGAGCCGTTCCAGCGCACGGCCAGGTGCTGCTGCAGGCTGAGGGTGCCCGCGCCCAGCACCAGGTCCACCGACTTGGTCCAGGAGAAGGAGCGCGTCCTGCGCGCGTCGTTCTTCACCAGCACCTGGAAGGGCGAGGCAGGGGAGGAGCAGTCTTTCGTCAAAACGTACTGACACGTCCCCTGAAAGTTAAATGTCCGTCCGTCAAAAGTGTTGTAGTGGGGATCTCCGAAAACCGTGCAAACGCCGGGCTCTGCGGATGAGTGAGAGACAAAAGCAGGGTCATAAACAGAGCGAAGGATTCGGGGAGAAACCAGGGGTCCCTGCAGTAAACCCCGAAGGGGCACCCGCCAGGGAAGGGGGGGCTTACAGAGAGGCACTTACAAAACCAACTTGCAAAAAACAAAGTTCGGTTGGTGGGTGGTTTTAAAAATCTGTGCCAAACCTCCCAGGACATGTAAGATTTCTGGTGCTTTTTATACTTAGAGGTTCTTTATAACAGGCATATTTAAAGCTCTATGTTGGAGCCTTGACATGCTTCTGTGTTCTTCATATAAGGGAGGGAGAAATGGAAGATAATTTGGTACATAGAACTGGCCTAACTCCATAACCCATATAAACAAGAACAAAACATAAATAAATAAGAGGTAGCAATGTAAATGACAATAGAGCCAAAACACAGTGTTATTTCCATTTAACCAATTCAAAGAATCTGGAAACATGGTATTCTACATGTTACTCGTGATTTTAAGCAAAAGTAGTATATTTAACACATATATTTACTAAGGACAAAAAAGTAGAATTGACAAACATGCATGTTTAATACCACTAAAAACCAAGTACTGGTAAAGTTGAATCTCTACGTGTTTTATAGAAATACAAGGTTCCTATATTTTGATCTATGTATCAAAATCTAACGTTGGATAAAAATATAATTGTAAGACCCATCATTTAGTAAATTTAACAAATTCCAATGAGTTCATCACTTCAAAATACCTTTGATTCAAATACATATGAGACCCAAGTAGAGTTCTACACTTTAGGGTATCTCACAGATTTTTATAGAACATTAAATATCATTTATTTTTTGAAAAAACATTTGACATTGATCTGTTCTCCATCTGAAGATATTTTTTATCTGTTTCCAAGGCGGCCCGAACAGCCAGGTAATGAGGAATTCATTTAGAGAAATTAACCCAAATGATGAAAGAACCATAACAAACAGGACAATTTCCAGGCAACACCAGAACAGGTCACAACTGTGAGCATGTCACATAATCGCTCTGAATGTCTAAGGGGAGAATTAAGAGTCAGGACAGAGAGAAGATGTGTCAACAGCTCTGAGGACAGTGGGACCCAAGGCAAACATTCGCTTTCAATGTCCAAAGTGTTTGGAGAGTAAGGTTGTTTTATGTTGTGATGTAGCATGTCATGTCAAATGGCCATGTTATGTTTCTCCGGATAAATCGCATGTACTTGGAATTTGACAGATGAATTGTTCTTAGTTAGTTTTCCTTATCAATATTTGATAGAGACTCAAAAAGAGAATGGGGTACGTACAATGGTTTCAATGAACACATACTTGAAAGACTATATAAAAGGCACTCTTTGGGGAGAAGGTAAAAGCGGTAGGCGGGAGGGATACGCTCTAACAGGTCAGAGGCAATATTTGAATTCACCTTCCATCTCTGTTTCTTATCCTTTTCTTGGGGGTATTCTCCACGTGACTCCAATTTCACTCAAGTTCATTGCTACACCTTTACCCCATCCCCTTTCTGACCCCACGCCCCCCCCCCCTGGTGTTCTCACCAATCTAATCACCCCATATGGGGCATTTTCAGTCCTTTCTCCATGGGATCACTTTCAAAATTGTCTTAACACACACTTCCTTCACATTTTGACTAACAGAATCTTTCCCTGGAATAAAAATGGTGCTTTCTGATTTGGAGGGGGCAAGACAGTCGGGGACTCCCTGAGCGACATCAGGGGAATTATAATTCTGAGCTGATACTGCCGTGTGTCACACAGGACCTGACCACCCGAGGCGCCAGACTCAAGAGAAGGGCTCCTTTCGAGTTCTTAACTCCATATTCTCAGCAAGAAAACTGGAATCAATCCAGGCTTTTGAGCATCTGAGCTTGTAGCAGATGGACCTCAGCTTTAAAAGGCCAGTGTACTACTGGATTTGAACTTGTCCTCCAGAAGAGACTCTCTCTCAGCTGCAGGCAGGTGCAGGGAATGCCCAAGCCCTCTGCCTAGAGTCTGAGATGCCATCTCCTGAGCCAGGGACAATCACAGCTTCTTCGGGCCTTCTGACCACATTTGCGTCAAAACGATCGTCAACAAAAACAGCAACAGCTAACATTCACCAAGAATCCAATACACACCCTCTGTTCTCGATGCCTGCTGATCATGGATACCTTATAAGAAAGTAGATCTTCAGATGGTCTCCGAACATTAAACAAACAGCTAAGCACCTGGTAGCAAATTCATAAAATGAATACTTATCTAGTCACTGAAAAAGTTGGTGAATAATGTTCACGACTGAGCAAATGCTGACCCCATGTGAAGTGAAAAATAGGAAAGAAAGACTTCCATCTTAACTGTCTCAAAACAAACACAGAAACCCACACGCCAGAATTGTAAACTGCGGCTATTCCTTGGTGGCAGAATGATGAGTGATACTTTTTCTTTCTTCCTTATGCTTTTCTGATTTTGTTCTTGGCATGTGTGTTTTTTTTTTAAAGAGTCAAAATGTGGGTGCCCGGAAAGAAGGCCAATTATGTGACAAAGCAAATCCTCCAAGAAGCAACAGAAAGTACACTGTCCTGAGTGGCCCTGGGGGACCCCAGCTGACTCATAGCTGGGCAGAAAGCACTGACAACATCCAGGGAGACCAGGCAAGGGAAGCACGTGTGGTCAGGGCTGTCAGGAAAGCTGTTTTTCTAAGAGGCCTTAACTTATGGAGGAGAAGGGTTTGGAGATCAGGATTTTTCTGGGTAACAGCAATATAGGAGAGGCCAACAAAATTTCATGACCACAAGATGCCTGAGAATTATGTGTCGCATGTGGGGACATTTGTAGCATGAGCTAAAATAATTTTGAAATGTTGGCCCCTGTCCCTGGCACCTCAAGGTCCCTGTGCCAGGTCCTTGCAAGAACAGCACATACGTGCACTTAAGACTGACTGAAAGTGAGGATTTCAGGGTTACACAGACCTGCCTGGCTGAAAAGGAACAAGGCTAGGGAAACTCTTAGGGGACACAAGTGAACATTGTATTCTCATAGAATTTTTTTTTTCCAGGAGACGCAATGAAATGAGCTGCGATCCAAGGTGTCCAGATGTCTGGTCACATTCTCTGGAAAGCTTGGGGTGATCATTGGAGCTAAATAAACAGACCCTTGTACAACTGACCTTGAATATGTGTAGGTCCGAGGGTGGAGAGAAAAATGCAAGTTTACCCTAGTGGTCATTTTTTCATAGTCCTTGATGTCAAACCATCAGATGTCATTTTTATTTTGCTTTGCTTTCAATATACAAGGGTTTAGGCAAAGGAGAAAAAAGATAAAAAGTATATAAACCCAAATATAAAGAGTCTGTTGTTTTTTTTATTTTCTCTCTCTTAGGTTACAGAATTATGGGTGACATTTATTTTCCTTTCCTGTTTGTGTGTATGTATATTATTTTTTACGTTTACATTAATTATTTATAATGACTATGTATACTTTTGGAATAAGAACATTTGCTTTAAAAAATTTTAAATATTGGATTTGAACATATTGCTTTGACATTACATATTTTAATGAGACTTAAGAGAGTCTGGCTGCTTCTGAAAACAGAATCCAAAGCTTTCTCTTAACCTCATAAAGTACCCTGATTTCTGCCATGGGTATATTTATTCTAATGAAATGCCTTCCTTCTGAGAGTAGTGATTATTCTCAAAACATCCGTCAAGGAAAATTAAGGGGAAATTACACAACTCCGTGTTACGAGGAAGAAAATAAGAGAAACTGGGTGGACTCCAACCTCCTTCCCCTAAAACACAACAAAACAAAACCAGAAAAGCATCAGGAAGAAAAAACAACCACATGATCATTCATGGTTCTGCCTTCAAGAAATAACCACCGTTTACAGTTTGGGGGTGTGTGTGCGTTTGCGTGTTTTAACACAGTTAAGATCATCCAGTACATAAAATTTTACTTCCTCTTCGCTGGACATGCCACAGGATTTCCCCAGTCAAGAAAACCACTTTGAAAACATAGAAAGCAACTTCCATCTCCGTCCATCATTTCTGCAAAGAGAAAACTCTCCCCGACGCATTGTCCCGCGTACCACACAGCTCAGTACATTTCTAGAGAAGTGTTGTAACCATGAGAAAGTGTATCAAATAAAAAAAACAAGACTTTACACCTTTCTCAACACAAATCACCGGGAAAGAGGCCGTGTTGGACTCCGGGGCCACCGGGTGGTGCCGGGGCTCCTGGGAACCCCAGGTGGGCAAGAGTCGTCACGATGAGGTCAAGTTTGGGTCAAGAACCAGGAAAGGCCAGAAGTAGAAACACTACCCACGTGGCGGGTCTGGGCTCCTCCCGAAAGGGATGTGAGCCCAATGCTGGGTGTGACCCGAACTTCTCCACACAGGAGGCTCTGGACCAGCTCCGGTGTCCCTGACAGCTGTGGCTCCAGGCGACCTGAGGGCCAGCAGATGCCTTACTCCAGGGCACCTGGATTCCTGTAAGATTTTACATCCTTGGCTTTTTTTTTTTTTATTCTTTATTTTTTTTAATCCTCATCCGAGGACATTTTTCCATTTTTTTGTATAGACAGTGTGGGAGGGAGAGACAGGAAGAGAGAGAGAGGAAAACATCGATGTGAAAGGGACACATCGAGTGGCTGCCACCTGCACGACCAACCAGGGACGGGGACAAACTGCGACCGAGGTACATGCCCTTAGCGGGAACCGAACCCGGGTCTCTCCGGACCGCAGGCGGACGCTCTAACCGCTGAGCCAAACCGGCCAGGGCCATCCTTGGCTTCTTAAATCAAGAACTTAATCTAACCTTCTTGCGTGAGTGCAGGGGAAGGGGATAGCAGACCTCTTTCCACCGGCCCTACAATCCCCAGGTATAGCTACAAATCTGCATATAAAAACTCATTCTTAAAAAAAGCTGTGTGGGCACCTGAAACTAATATTTAAAGAAGAAGTTAAGTAGGACTATTAAGAATGTAAATTTGGTTTTACATGGTTTTTA